TATCTCATTGTTGTTTTGATTTGCATCTCTCTAATGGCTAGTGATCGTGAACATTTCTTCATATGTTTGTTGGCTGCCCGGATCTCCTGCCTGGTGAAGTGTCTATTCATATCCTGTGCCCATTTCTTAACTGGGTTAATTTGTCTTATTTTTGTAGATGTGTATCATTTTCCTATATATTTTAGAGATGAGTCTCTTATCCGATATGTTGTTGCAAAAGATTTTTTCCCAGTCTGTGGGTTTACTTTTTACTCTCTTGGTGAAGTCTTTTGATGTGCACAAGCTTTTAATTTTTAGTAAGTCCCACTCATCTCTTTTGTCTATTTTTGTGTACTTTTCAAAATGTGTGGCAGTCTGTATATGCCCTGGATTAGTGCCCTCATGTTTGTCCCTATTTTTTTGTTGATGATCTTCATAATTTTGGGATTCACATTTAGCTCTTTAATCCATGTTGAATTTGAGTTCATTTTTGTATGGGGTGTGAGACAAAGGTCTTGTTTCAGTCTTTTACATATTGCTTTCCAGTTCTGCCAGCACCATTTGTTGAAGAGACTGTCACTTCCCCATGCAATGTGCCTAGGCACTTTGTCAAAGATCATTTGGCTGTACGTGGTTGGGTTGATATCTGGATTCTCGACTGTGCCCACTTTTTAATTGGGTTATTTGTCTTTTTCTTGTAGAGGTGTTGTAGTTTCCTGGTATTTTAGAAATGAGTCCCTTGTCCGATGTGTCATTGCAGATCCACCTACTTTTTTTTTGTTGTGTTTTTTTTACAGAAGTAAAACATATTAATAGGGCATAGAGTGTACAGCTTGCTTGTGTTTTCACAAACTGGGACACTTGCCTGGGGCGCAACTTGCCCCAGGGTGCACCTTCTGGAATTTACATGGGGCTCTTTCCTGCCTAAGGAGTCTGGTGGCACAGGGGGTTAAGAGTTGTACTGCTAGTCAAAAGATTGGCAGTTTGAACCAGTAGCCACTCCGTGAGAGATAGATGAGGCTGTTTGTCCACTTCCGTAAAGATTGATGCAGTTAAGTGCTGTCAAGTCCATTAGTGACCCTGTATAGGGTTTCTGGAAGTCCCGATGTGGCTCTGTTGGCTAGTTTGCTGGACTGCAAAGTGGTTTGAACCACAAGGTAGGTGGTTCAAGCTCCCAGCCACTCCTTGTAAGCCCTATATATAGTTGCTATGGGTCTGAAACGACTCCATGGCACTTAACAACAACAACATAGTGTTTCTGACGAGTGGTTTGTGACTTTGAACTTCCAACCTTATGGTTCAAATCGACCTTGCAGTTCAGTGCTTATCCTATAGCATCACACCAGGACAGCCTCAGAAACCCTAGGGAACAGTCAATGAGTTGGAATTAACTAAACAGTAGTGGCTTTAGTTTGGTTTTGGTCTTAACTTGGCTGAAAACCCCATGGGTATTTCACCCCACCTGTCATACTTCCATCAGTGTGATCTCTCCAGTTTCTCAGTCCCCCACTTCCTCATCTGCTCCTTTACCTGGGTGCAAAGCGTTGGATTACTGGGCATTCATTACTTTTGAACTCCATCCCATCTCCTTGAGTGCCCCTCAGACTTTGGGTCCAGCAATCAGTGATGCTCAGTGGGTCCCCAGGTGTCACTTTATGGCTGCACTGACCACATATACTCACTCAGGGGCTCCTGAACATTTGGGCCATCCTGACTCACCTCTGTGTCCCTGTCCTCTGTGTTATCTGACAAGTTCTGGCTTAAGTAACAGTCAGAGACATTGCTGACCTACAGTGTCCAAGATAAAGGCTAGTTCGGGGAGCTGGTGGGGACTGCTGGTACAGGTTCGGTGGGCTCAGGATGTGCACCAGGATCGGAAGGCTCCCCAGGGAGGGAGACTGCAGAGCAAATCAGGCTCTTCTTTCAAAGTGACTGTGAGTAGCTTCCAAAATGATGATGGGACGGATGTGTTTGGTTTCAGAGCTCCACTACAAGCTGATCATGAATCAGAAGCCTCCAAAGAAAGGTAAGACTTAGCCCCTTTAGTGCCTCTTGTGGAGAGCAGCATCTTCAGACTGTTCTGCCCACCCAGGAATGCTGTTTCCTGAGTGTCCACGACTTGTGGTCTGTGCACTATCTACATTGGACAGAGTGATAGAGGCTTGATGATGGGTTGGCAGAGCCTTTGGCCTCAGCCCTCTGTGGAAGTGCTGGAGGTACTGGGTGGGGAAGGATGCTGTAGCTCAGACCTGCATTGTTATGTTGGCCTCAGCCCAAGCCCTGTGCTCCCTTACCTTGCTGATCCCACAGCCCAGCCCATAGCTTGCCTGCCATCTGAATGGTGAATGGTTTGTTGTTGCTGTTAGGTGCCATTGAGTTGGTACCGACTTATGAACAGCAGAATGAAACACTGCCCAATCCTTGGGGCAACCTCACTACTGTTGCCACGCTTGAGTCCATCGATGCTGCCACTTGGCAAATCCATCTCGCTGGAGGTCTTCCTCTTTTTCTCTGACCTTACCAAACATGATCTCTTTCTCCAGCGACTGGTCCCTCCTGACAATATGTCCGAAGTATGAGAGATGAAGTTTGTCCATCCTGGCCTCCAAGGAGCACTCTGGCTGCAATTCTTCCAAAACGGATCTGTTGGTTCTTTTGGCAACCCATGGCACTTTCAATATTCTCCTCCAACACCATAAGTCAAAAGCATAAATTCTTCTACGGCCTTCCTTATTCAACTGTCTAGCTTTCGCATGCATATGAGGTTATTGAAAATACCATGGCTTGGGTCAGGTGCACCTTAGTCCTCAAGCTGACATCTTTACTCTTCAACACTTTAAAAAGGTCTTGTGCAGCAGTTTTGCCTAATGCAATACGTTGTTTGATCTCTTGACTGCTGCTTCCATGAGTGTTGATAGTTG